CTCGCCGTGGCGCGCTCATCACCAAACCCGCTCTCATCGCCAAACCCGCTCTCCTCTCCTTTGCAGTTCGCCGGGACCTGGTATGCCATGGCCAAGAAGGACCCCGAGGGCCTCTTTCTGCAGGACAACATCATCGCCGAGTTCTCCGTGGACGAGAACGGCCAGATGAGCGCCACCGCCAAGGGCCGAGTCCGTCTGTTGAAGTCAGTGGGCTCTGGGCGGCAGAGCTCTCTGCGCCCCGGGGTCCCCGGGCTGGGCACCGAACCCTGACGGGGAGGGAAGGGAGCACCCGGGGTGATGGGATGGAGGATGGAGGGAGGAAGCCTTTTGCCCGGCCTGGCTCAGGATCCCCTTGGCCTTTGCAGCAACTGGGACGTGTGTGCAGACATGGTGGGCACCTTCACAGACACGGAGGACCCTGCCAAGTTCAAGATGAAGTACTGGGGTGTAGCGTCCTTTCTCCAGAGAGGAAGTGAGTAATCAGCTCAGTGGGACTGTCTTGGGGGGTAGGAGGGCCACAACCGGGCCAAATCTTTGGGTTTCTTTTCCAGTGGCGCCCTTGGGAAAAATGTGGTCTCTAAGTGGCAGGAACCCTGGGCACCGCCTGAGGTTAGAGGCATGAGATTGGCCCACCTCCCCCCATACCCCCAGCTCCTAAAACCTGGCCCAAGCTCAAAGGACCTTTGGGCTTGTGAGGCCCCCTCCTTCCATTTTCCTGTCCAGCCACTATTCCAGGGTGTGTAGCCTTCTCCAAGTTTACCACCCTCCCCCGCTCCCAAGACCCAGCCCACATCACCGGTCAACCTGGCTTTGCATTTCCTCTGTCTCTTTGGGCTGAATCCCTGGGATAACAGAGGCTGGTAGCCCCCCATCCAAGGATGTAGGGAGCATGGTGCATAGGGTTGGCCCTCTGCCCGCCCTCTGCCCTGTCTCATGATGCAGAGATTCTGAGCCAGGCGCAGTGCTCTTGGTGGCAATGCCCTCTTCTCTTTCTCCCAAGCACCAAAACTCAGATGGGGGGAGGGAGAGTATTGAGGGCTCTCGGAAAAGCATCCTAAAACTTGGCCCGATCGTGAGAACACATCTGTAGGCTCTTTCTACTCCGCCCCCGCCGCCCCCCATTTCTCCTAAATTTCAAACCTGTAATCTACTTGGTACTTAGGGAATTGTGCAAGCTGGGGGGGTAGAGGGGGGTGGTCATGGGATCTTAGAGATAGTTAACCCTACAAAGGTTTCAATAAACAGATGAATAAACCGAGGCCAAGAGAATGAAGTGCTTTGCTCACGGTCATACAGGTTTGTGAGAGCCAGTGTCAGAGCCGGGGCTTCCAGCTCCTGGGCCAGGATTAGGTGGCCCTGAGCAGCAGGGACTCCTAATTTACAGACCAGCTTTTACAAAGCATCGGTCTCTCCTGTGGGGTAGACCAAGGGGGCTGTTTGAGGGGAACGGGGGGAGGGACTCTCTTAGCTGGTCGTCCAGGGCAGAAGCATTCTTTATGTGGCCCATCACTCTACACACGGCACATACAC